TGAGGCTGCGCTGCTGAGACAGACCGCTCTTACTACGAGAGTTCATGTCTCGCTCTGCTTTGCTCGCGGCTCGCCTTCTTGAATAAAGAGGGCCCCGCCCCTCCCCTCATCCGCTACGAGCGGATTTGAGAGAATGTGTGCAGCATTTTTTATCTGCCTGAGTGTTACACATAAAGATCATCAAAACTCCTCTTCTAATGAGCGGTTTGATCTTTTTTAGATGGATTAAAAGAGAATGCTGTCACGAATGATTATTATCACTGATAGCTTCAAATTGGATGTGTCTGGGCCACGCCCACGCTGAGGCAGCACGCACGGGGGCTGACTGCTCTGCTATGAAAGCATTAAGTCTGGCAAAGCATTTTCTTAAAGCATTTTCATGGAAAAGTTAATTTCCTCTTCTGAGTGTGGGGCACCCATACGGCGACCAGCCTCTCAATTTAATCCTGCAGATCAGGGTGCGTCAGGCCTGTGTAACTACCCTGACCCCCGGGAGAAAAAAAAATCTCACTAGATGGAACAGGGAGTGGCCATAGGAATGGTTTGCAGAAGGACAGTTGTCACAACAGATGTCTCCAATTCAGGTTGGGGGGCGCTGTGCGAGGGCATACCGACTTTCGGCCACTGGCCGAAGGCAGAAAAAGGCTTCCACACCAACTGCCTGGAAATACTAGCAGTATGTCGAGCCTGTCAGTTCTTCCTGCCAGTCCTAAAGGGCACCATGTGCTCAACCCACTCTCGCTGAGAGCAGCGCATATACTGGGCAAATTGAACCAAGGAGCGGATATGTTATCAAGGAGCAAAGTCCCATAAGGGGAGTGGACGCTCCATCCGCAGACGGTTCAGAGGATATGGGAGATCTACGGTGAGGCCGAGGTGGACCTCTTCGCCTCCGAGAAAACTCTCACTGCCCAATCTATTTCTCAAAGACCAGGGACGATTGGCCCAACCTCCTTCTTTATGCTTTTCCCCCGATCGCTCTGATCCCACAGGTAATCAGGCGAGTAAGGGAACGAGAACACAGGGTTCTCATGGTGGCGCCCCTTTGGATGAACCAGCTGTGGCTATCGGCGCTAACTCAGCTATTGATAGCGGCCCCTTGGCCTGTTCCGCTGAGACAGGATCTCCTCTCTCAATACGCCTTAATTTTCTCTGCTTGGTGTCTAAACCGCAGCAAAGACCCCCTTACTTCCGATTTGGCAGAGGTGGCAGAGGTTCTACAAGAGCTGCTGGATAAGGGACGTTCCCCATCCACGCTCAAAGTCTATGTGGCAGCTATAGCGGCCTCTCATGCCCCTATTGCGGGCCAATCAGTGGGCAGAAACAGCGCGGTTATCCGCTTCTTATCCGCCAGGAGGCTGAATCCGCCTCGTCCCCTAACCGTCCCTTCATGGGATCTGCCCTCTGTGCTGAGGGCCCTGAAGGGTCCCCC